ACCAATCACAAAGCTCAGAATGATTCGTTTTATATGCGAATAAATTCGTACGTGTTCGAGAATTGAGCCAATAAACGCTGGTCGTAAAATCCAACGCAATATAATTTATAATAAAATATATAAAGTATATTTCTAAATAAAGTGTACATTTATAGTTTTTCCATTATATGTAAGATTAAAACACTGTAAATGTTTGTAATTATTTGTAAGACTAAAACACTAAAATCATGAAAAAAAATTTAACTTTTAACTTGTTAATTATTTTTTTTATTAACTTAACTTTTAATCAATTAATTTTATTATGGATTAACTTATATCTTAACTACATAAACTTTTTAAGACCTTTAACTGTAACTTAACTTAAAAAAAAAATTTAACTTACCCAACCTTGATTAATTCATATCTCAATAACTATTGCGAAGTTTACAAACTGGTAAATAACTTTTCTGCTCAGATTGACCCAATCTACACACGTCGGCTTGATAGTTTGTTGTCAGACAAACCTGTATAGTATGTATATGTATATTATACACACTATACATATACAATACATGTATGTGTATACATAATATTTCTGATTGTCATAACATAACACTGTCAAAGTAAATAAACTATAACCGCAATATGTGGATAGTTTTATAACCGTCAATTACGATTCGTGAAACATAATATTATTTAAAAATTATTACTACAAAAATTATTTATTAAAATTATTTGTTATATTCTCTCGTGCAGTAGCCGAGTGTATTATTACTTACAAATATATTACGTACTATAATAAACATACTTTATTTTTTCTTTTTCTATTAAATTAAATACTTAATTTATATGTATGAACGTGCTGTATTTATGGTCGCCAGATATCAGCAGATTTCGCAGAGACAAATAGAAAAATTGTTATGATGTCCGGATCGGTTCTAAATACCAAGAATAATTATCTCAAACAATTAAGTTGAGACGTTAATGCGTCGTAAAAGGGTTTCTCATTTCGTCTAGCTCCTTTAAGCGACAAGGCGGCCTCTTTTGCGCGCTTAACGATCTAACGGAGTTACGACAGAGTTTAACCGCCTCTTCAGCATTATAGGTCGTTTTCTGGTTGGCAGAATCAGGCGGATAGAGGGAACTTTATTGATTACGAATTGATGCCAAAGTTTTCGCTCAACATTGACGAGGTGACACCAAAATCGTGTAGACGCCGGCAAATCGCTTTTCGCACGGATCAACCGTTTAGTTTATCTTCGTGCAAAGTAACACTCGAGTTTTCTTATCAAAGTTCGAAACCGATAACTCGTTCTTCCAAAATAATTCCCAATACATTTCGGAAACAGATGCACAGGAAGTGTCACAACGGAAAAGGATAAAAAAAAGAAACAACTTTAGAATTGACGTATGGATTCATACGTGAAGGTTTATTAAGATAGTAACGATGATTGCATTACATTCCCGTAACTTATGCGTGAGACGATCGGGCAAGAGCCTCAAAACAGAATAAGAAAATACATCCGCTACGTATTCAGCGGATACCGAAGTCGGTGCTCCGATCAACGGTCGGTTTCCCTTTGTTCCGGAGCACGACTGCGACGATTTCGGATAGTTGTGACCGCAGGACAAAGTTTGGAGCGCCCCAGGCGCAATCCGGATAACTCGACTCGTAGGTCCCAGTAATAGGCGGTATGAAAGGATAAAAGTCGTATTTCTAGGACTCAGGAAATGCGGCATGCCGCTAGAACGCTACGAAACTTCCTGTCTAATTTACGGAGCGTTCCAGCAGAACATTGCTGTATAATAAATTGGATCTTTGACGAGTTCGTTATTTCGTGTTTAAGTGCAGAAATACAAAAATTAACGATATATAGAGACATACATTGTACTGTCCATAAATACAATGAACAATATTCAACTTTGTAAGTACTTTTCTAGTGCATCAAATTTTTTTTTTTTTTTTTTTATTTCTGCAAAGTGATAACATAAGTTATGTAAATGAGAAACAGAGATAACTGTTTTTTTTTTTTATCAACGTTTCCGATATCTTTGCAGACAGTAGTATCCAGTAACTAAATTATCCTAAATCTGTCACTGAATGTGGTTTATGTATGCATCATGATAAATTAACTCTCAATCGATCAATTGATTGATAAGATCCGGTTTCTCTCTCTCTCTCTCTCACACACAAAATTAATTAGCACTATGGCATGATGGCATTAATTAATTCATGCATGTACGTTACAATAAATTAATTAATTTCTCAATCGATCAACTGACTGAACACCGATCATGAAATTAATATTACTTCGATTACACATCAGAGAAGTTAATTGTGTGACAAAGAAGATTTTAGACGTGTGTGTTTTTTTCTCTTTTTCTCTATAACTGTCGAAACTCTGCGACCTACTGCTTCTCATTAGCTCTCAGTTCTCGTGAATCACTACTGTATAGGATGAAACAGTATGGCTATGTATAAGTGACAGCGGTCGAAACGGATCGAATGTAACAATATGTACACGGTGATAGTTACATAGAAGCATTTCATAGTGCCAATTAGATATTTAACTTACTAATAGTGTTTGCCCTCTTTCTCTCTTTTCTTTCTTACTGTTAACATGGAAACAACAGAAAACAAAGTGTTTTTTTTTCTGATCGCACATCACACACACGCTTACTCTTTCTTATTTTGCACACACATGCACGCACGCACATAAGTCACATTTTATGAGCATACTCTGTTTGCAAAAATCAACTAGAGAGAAATTCGGAAGAATTTTACCAACAGCATATTATAAACCTATTTAAAAAATATAATAGAGTCTAACGTACACAATGACAGTATTGCTACCTAGTTTATATATCTATATAGATACACAATTTGATATCGAGTTCATAGAAGTTCGTTTCATCTCTCACTTTGTATTCACTTGTTTTCTATGCTGATTTTCCGCACAAACGTGAATCGTTGAAGTTTACATTGTTCGATATCCGAGTTTCGTCTAATTACAGTCAATTACATTGACTCACGATGTGTGAACAATCTCTTATAAAAAACGACACTATCCGGTTATCATAATCGCTGTAATAAGCTCGAGAAAATACGTCGGGCCTATATATTATATATAATTTTGTTAACGTCTTCGGTTTGAAATCATTTTCTGAGAAAACGAAAGAGTTTTTAATTATATTACAATTATATTACAATTGAATGTGAAAGAACTGCGAGTGCTATCTGTTTGTTTCTTTAATATTACATCGCCTTCTGCCCAAAAACTCGATGTTATGTAAATAGCGACTTTCTGCCGTCTGCTAAATTATCTGTCTTTAATTAATGAATCTGGAATTGATATTCTTATACCGCATGAAAACTCACGACAGAGAGTCAATCGTTGAATAGACGATATTTATGGATCTACGCGCGTTACATTAAACTTTAATAGAGTTACCTTTGATTAGCGCATTTTTAAATTAAATTTTGAGTAGAATTTATCTAACGCAAATTTAATTCATGTCCTAATTGATAGCATGATAAAAAACGCGAACAAGAATTCTGATAAATGAAGAACCCTAATTAACTTTTTATCTGGAATATAATGAAAAATTGCTTCCTAATTTGTCAAAGAATCAGTTACGGACTTTACTCTTTAATGAGAAAGAACGGCGATAATTAACATCACTTGCGAGAAAAAAAAACTATAAAATATAATAACGTACGATATAAAATTGTACATCAACGAAACAATTTAGCTCTTATTATCAAAACAATTAGCACAAACAACAAAGCAATTTAACTAAAATTCGACCAAAATATATTTGTGTACGTAAATTTAGCTCATTTTACTTTCGTTTGCGCGCAATTACATCGATTTGTTGCAAATTGTGAAAATTGGGCTGAACACAATTAATTTTTCAATCAACGTTATCAAATATAGACTGAAGAAATTTAATAGAAACGCTAATGTTTTTCTACGTGATATTGAATTATGCGATATATCGACATGTGTGCTCAAAAAATGTTTTCAAACGTTTCTCTTCTATTCGTCAGCAATAGCTCGTAAATTCGGTCGATCATGTATTGCTCATTATTGAAAACATTCATCGTCGTAACCGCTCAACCGAACGAACATTTTTAAAGATCGCACGTTAAATCTTTCTTGTGTATATACCATTATAAATGTGTATCGATTACGTATTCTCACCGGACTCGAAATCCGAAATTTCGCAGCTTTTCTTGTTTGCTTTAACGGTCACTCGTTTAAACCGTATGTAATTCATATAACATAATTTGCACGGCAAACAGCTAACTACTATTAACGTTTCTCTACATTTTTCCATGATGTGATCGGCGATTTAATATAATAATATCCTCGGGATCTATTATTTATTTTATCGAGTGCTCACTTCCGTGCAAACTTGCTTTCGTCACTATAATAAACTAAGAAAGAACGAGAACATCACAGTCGTATAGAGGATGCAGTACATATACGTCCGTCCGTAGCGTATCCGCGAAGGCAAAAATTAGTTTCTTTTTGTTTTTCATACGTGACTTTCGAACGATATTCGGACAGACGTTACAATGACTTAAAGAGATTCGTTTCGTGCGAGAGGAGAAAAACATTTTACCCACTGAACACAGACGGAAGTAGACTTTTTCTAAAAGGGCCGTGTAGGCAAACGAGTTTTTTTTTAAGAGCATGTATTTAACTACGCAATTTTCTCGGTTTGTAAAGAAATGTTGAGTATTAAATTTCGCATCTACACGCACACAGACATTCAACTTCCAAGTAATCGTCATTAAACCCGAATATAAAATAAGATAATAAATGGCTATTCCTGCGAGCTCTTCAATTACAAATTAATTATTTTTAGATGAAAACGGCGGAAATGATTTGTAACGTTTATTCCTTTTCTTGTTTTTTTGTGGATAACCACTATCAATCGTAAAAATAAAAATCCTCCGTAGAAATAATAGTTGTTCGACTATAACTTATCCGCGCAAGACTATTAGTGGCTACTTAGCATCGCAGTCTATTAATTTAACCTTTCTGGTTTACAAAGGCTGCAACAACGAACGAACAACATTGTTCGTGACAATGAAGAAATACGTTTTCTTTCTCTCTCGTTTAGACGACGTAAAAATATCTTATATTGCGCGCCGATGTTCTTCTTCTTCGGGATAGTCAACGGTGACGCGAACAAACGAGACAGGGTGGGGAAGGATGAGGGGATAAATTCAAGACGTCGCGTGTGTCTCGAGGTATAATAGACTTTGGTAACACTTCCTCTCGACGAATTCATCAACGAGATCGCCACTTTCTTTTTGGTGAGCTTGAGCTATTGGTGATATTTGGATGACTCTCGATCTCGAAGTTGGGGTTCGTTGTAAATTGAGCCAGGACTCGTTCGAGTGGCCGCCCAATGATTGCTCCCTTCTCATCCCAGGCTTTCTTAATGACTGCCAACGAGAAGACAACTCGTTAGCAGCACTAGCAGCAGCAACAACGGCGAAGGCGGTAACAGGGCACCTTTAATGCAAAAAAAACTCAATGTCACGTGTTATCCGTCGTGGGTTCAAGAGATCTCGAATTAAAAATACCGGGAAGAGATTTATAAACTTTTAGATTCGGTTGGAGGAAATATATATATATGTACATATATATTTCTAAAATATATTTCTATATATATTTCTAATTATATATATTTCTAATATACTTCTAATTATATTTATTTTATATATATTTCTAATTACAGAGATATAATAATCTTCTTTGATTCTAATCTTTTTGTGTAACGTGATACTTGGGCGAGCGATGCTGTTTCTGACAGAATCTCCGGCGACTACGAAACTCGGAACAATTCCGCCTCTGTATTTTTGGATGTCGCCTTTTATACATCAGTTAATCACGAGTGATTTGCTGATTAGGGACACGCAATACCCGATTCCCGAAAAGCACCATTGCATTTTTTTTGGTTATATACGCAACTTTCGTCCTTAGACGCGCTTCCACGTAGTAGCTCGAAATCCGTTGACTGGACATCTAAGACGAATTCCAATTGCACGGAACACGCACGAAGGTATATTTAACCACATTACAACTAAGTTGATATAACATAATCACGTCACTGATAATAATGACAATAAATAATAATAATAATAATAATAATAATAATAATAATAATAATAATAATAATAATAATAATAATAATGATAATGATAATAATAACAATATTCACAGTATTCTTCCTCGTGAAAACTTATAATAGTGGAGAAGTGGCCAATTCGAGGCAATAACCAGATCTTCGTGTCAATAAACTTATTTTAAAAAACTTGACAAACGTTTCAACTCTAATTTTCTATACCCCTACGAGCCTTCCTGTAAGTGTCAAACCTTGTAATTCGGGGTACGCGTTACCAACCCGTTGCGTAAGATTGTTTAATATGATCTATAATTATTATATGTGTAATTATTATATGTAGTACACTGAAGATCCAAATTAGGGTTGAAACGTTTGTCAAGTTTTTTCAAATAAAGAAGTTTATTGACGCGAAGATCTAGTTATTGCCTCGAATTGGCTCTACTATTATTAATTAAGGACTTTCCTACTATTATTAATAGTAATATTATAACAATAGTAAAATAATAATAACAAACAATATAATAACATAATAATAATAACATAACTTTGTGATAGGAAGAATATGTAATATTTTCTATACTCTGCCATATAACACACGGTTACTTTGACTTGATTATTATACGTTAACGCGTCGTGATGATAGACGCTTTCGGATCAACCTTGTTTTTTTCGCCGTTGACCTCAAAGAATGAGTCGCACGATCGTGATATCGATCCAACACGCTCGTCCTGCATACAAAACACGCGCGTGATAACACATGTTAACGATGGTATAAATAGTAATACTACATACCGTATGTTTTGTTCGTGTTTGCTCCTCGTAGATTTTTTTTTATCGCTGTGCGTATGCGAAAAGGTAGGGAAATATTGCGACGCACAGCGTTAGGAAGCCGCGCGATATCGAAGTAAAAAAGCTGCAACATTCCCGCGTGACCGTCACAATCGTGGCCGTCTATACGCACGACCGATATGAAATGTGCAATTTTTCTTCCGTTTTTCCAAATAAAATTTCAAGATTGCGCGTGTGTGTGTGTGTGTTTGTAAAAACATCGTGCATTTCAATGACTCGACATTGAGAATGTTTATTTATTTACTTTTTTTTGTTTCAGAAAATATGTAGAAAAATTTTTTCTCATTATATCCTTCAATCTTTTTCTAGCGCAACTTTCGTATTTATTAAATTCGCTGATAACAAGTGCTTGAAGTAATATCAAAACCTGTTACGCCGCTTTCTTCATTATGCGATCTCACGCTAGGCTCCTACGGACAAATATTGCGAAGTCGACGATACAATCTAGAATATTGAAACTACAGCTAAACAACAATCTCGCGCCTTGCGGATGCGAGAGGAGAGGGAAAGAGAGAGAATGGTGCGCGACATTATCGTTGATTGCCTATAAATACGCGTCACATCCGGCAGAGTCCTATTTGCAACTTGTTTCGCGACAATGGACGGCAATTCTAGTTGACCGCGCCTGCCAGAGCCGCTGCGCCGAAAGTAATTCATATTGTTTGGCTTCGTCGAGTCAATTTCTCGAGTACCGCGTAACGCGCAAAATTCAATTCTGCATAATTACGCGGTCGCGATGCAATATCGCTTCGGTACGAGGAGCGCGCGCGCAAGCCAAATTGTATTACTATTGAAAACTCCTTTACAGACTCGATCGTAATCGATAATGAAAAAGAAATTCTTTTATTCCCGTCTCTCTTCCCTTTTTTTAAACAATCGATACGGTAAAAAATAAGCGAGACAGTTACAGAGAAGGAAATTAGCGGTCTTGTGTAATAAACACGAGTCGATGGTGGAGATACGACAACGTAGACGTTGTATATCACACGCCGATTCTCCGCCGTACAATGACTTTCAATCGTACAATTTCCGTGGACTTGAGAGTTTGCGTATTTTTTTTTTTTTTCGTTTTCCGCAATTGTTACCACCCCGGTTCTAGAATGGAGCGCTTAAACGCGGCGACCAAATGCTCGAAGATGTATTTCGAGCTATTAAGCTTCAGCGGCACCGGGGCTACTCCGGCCATTGGGCGCGCAACAATGCTTCAAGTTGTAACAAAAGTTTCACGAATCCAAGGCATTCGACCCCGTTTGCCAGCGCGAACGAGTGAATAACGGGCTTCTCTCCGCGCAATTCGATTTGACGGAACGGGCTAAAGTACACCGCCTTAATTCATTCTGCCCGTGCTACCTTTTCCAGGCCGCTTCTATCCATTTACGCTGCAGCGCGCGTGACTTTTCGCCTCTTCGAGAGAACGAGAATGCGAATGAACGGATCTCCGCGCAATTCAGAATAGATCTTTCTACAAAGTTTTTGCTTCTCTATCTCTCTTTCTCTCTCACGGTCGATCGTTCTTTTATATATATCAAAAGACGCAATTATTTTTCAGAATATCCGTCGGCGTTTTTTATTCTCACAAGGCGCACGTATACGATGAGAGAAAAATCAAGAACACAAAGAAATAAGTGTCACGGAAATAGCCGAGATGACGTTTAAATAGCCAGAACATGATAACACGGTCGTGGCTGTCTGCAAATTTCACAAGTCAGAGTCTGTTAAAAAGGACGATGTAACTTAAAAGTTTCCAGTAAGTATATATTAAATTTACGTGAAATTCGTTATATATTAAATATTTCCAAAAGTATTGTATATATTAATCATAGAAGTTAGTTCGCGCGCGACTCAATAAGTCGCGTAATATTGCGTAGATAGATCTTTTGTTTTTTAAGAATTTTTTACCGTACTCTTTTATATCTCGCGTCTTTTTATAAAAATATCTTTGTTCTCTTTTATCTGAACTACTCCCGTTGGCTGTCTGCCAGCGTCACATTATGATTAAAATAAATACGAAATATTATATAATAGTCCATTTATATAATAGTCCATGGAAATATGTAAAAATGTAATTCCCTTTATAAACATCAGTAGAGTGTAACAAACGCGACATTCGCTACAAATCACGGTTTTCTACCTATCGCAGTTATGTAATTTTATACCCAGCGGCTCACATTTTTCCATTTCCAATATCCATCGTAAATTATTGTATTACGGGGAAAGTAAGCGCGAAACGAATAAATCGGGACTTTTCCCGGAAAATTCATATATAGATACAGTGTTTTCGCGCAATATGATGAACCGCATATTTTCAATAAACGGTGTTATTTTGCAGCTTTTTGATGATACGTATATTGCATTTCTTTTTATAATCGAATCATCGGTGAGTAGGCATAAGAAATTAATACACCGGATGATGTATATTATTTCATTTTCTCTCTTAGTTGTTATTCCATTTTCTCACTTAGACTAGCTAGGTAGATATTTTATGTACCGCACGATTGTTTATGACAATGTGTATTTCTCGTCTATTACGTGTATCTTATCACGGTATTTGAAATTATCCAATGATTTTAAAAAGTCGGAATCTACCTGAGTAGCAACGACAACGCTGCTCGCGATATAATTAATTAATTAATTTCGTCGAATTCTCTCACCTTGACGTGGCGATCCGCTGTTCACAGGTATTTTCATCGTATAATTTTCCTCTTCGTCCAGAAATACGTAGCTGGCGTTAAAACCCGTGGCGTCGAGACGATCGTTACTCATGAACGTAACACGAAAGAACTTCCTGTCGCTGTAAACGTCAAATTCTCTCTGCTGACCACAGTGTCTCTGATACTTCCGATCTCTGACCATGTAGTTGGAGAATTCGACATAATCGCTGGCTGACACAGCTTCGCATCTAAAAAAATTCCGTGTTAACAATTAAGTTTTTATTTTAAGACGGACAGAGAGAAAAGAGAGAAAAAGGCTAGAGAGAAAGAGAGAGAAAGATTGTCGACAGCATGTTTAGTTAAATATCCACAGATATTCGACGACACACACATAAAAATTGAAAAATGTTATACACTGCAATTATAGATACCTATGTGATGCATTTCACTCGTATAGATTATAAATAACTTAACTTGCTGTGCGTGTGTATTTTTCATGTTACAATTTTTCCTTTTTCTTTTCAACTTATAAAAGTTATTGTATACACATCTACTTCCGTGTGTACATTACAGAAATTTTATTTCAACATTTTTACATAAAATACGTTTTTAGACAAGGCAAAACGTTGCATAAAATTGAGGGGAAGAAGGTTATTTTATTAAAATATATTAGGTAAAATAAATATATCGATTCGAAGGATTAGTTGGAAGTTGGTTAGTTAAAACGACTTACTTAACTTTCAACTGCAAGCTTTGATGAGTCAAAAAGTTGGCCGCTCTTGCATTTCATTAAGAAAGTTATATGTATCCATCATCTATTATCTCGAAAAGTTTGTCAGTGAGATTTGATTTCCATTTTTTATATTCATAGAAAATAGGAATTTTGATTAAAATAGTAGTGTATATGCGATCGCGCGCGCGCGCGCGCGTGTTTGGAGAAAAATATGCGAGGATTATTAAACACTGAACCGAAAGGGCGCTCACGAGATAAAACTATTCAGGCTTCTCTATACACGATTCTACATTACTCCCTTCCTCTTCAAAATACACCTTATAAGATATGTGCAGTACATTGATACATATCCCCGATGAAAAATGGAGTAGCAAAAAGACCCTCAATATCTCTGGAAAGGAATATCGATAAAATCCGGGATGACTTTTCTTAACAGTCTTCCTTGGCTAACCTCCTTAGTCATAAATTGCATTCATGGCTTTCCCTCGCGCTCAGGATTTCCATAAATAATCCACTCTCGGTCTATTATTCATATCATTCTAATGCGAATATTATATACTTGTATGTACGTTATATATATCTACATTTCCACACAGAATAACTTTCCGGGAAAAGAAAAGCGATAAAAATAATTTACTACGCTAATTATACTCTTGTAACATCCTCATTAATACGTATCTTTGTAAAAACGTCGCGCGGAATAGAATATAAGAATCTATTATTGAACAGTGTAACAATCCATTTTATCATCTCGTCGAACATAATTAAGAGCGATATAGGTGGCGTTGCCTGGTAGATAAATGGAGGCGATAAGTAAGATTTACGCGGCCATCCGTTGGTTGTTGCGCGCCGACACCATCGGCGACGAGACGCGAACAATACATCGCCGCGCGAAAAGAAATATTGATGCGTGAGCGATGAGGCTATTATCGCCCAAGAGAAAATATATATGTCGCGAAATGCGCGCACACACGCGCACGAAGAGCTTGTACTAGTTGAACTCCGATGACATAAGTGGCAATTCGGGTGATAGATCATCATTTTCTTGGTGCGCTTCCTCGGGCGCGAGTTGTAACCCGCAGCGTCTCGAGAACTATTTACCAGCTGGTCAGATTTACGGCCAAGTATGCATCTCTTTTTCCGAGTTTGCCTCTTGCCTCTTCTCGCCTCGTGCTCGTGCACCGACGCTGGTGAAATGCATCCACAAATAAAGCACCGAGGGTGCACTTCGTCCAATCGAACTCTCGTTTCGTTGCGCACGCGGGTCGATATTTACGATTACCGTTTTCCAAATGTAACGCCGAGGTAAAATCTTCTCACGGCCAGGCTCGATCGGCGACGACCATAATAAATAGCAGTGAGCCGCGCGAGCGGTTACGACGCGGTAACCAGTCCAATGTCGATCGTCGACATCGGGAAATGATTAATTTATAAAGCGCTGAACCGCGCGCCGACGAGAACGACTCGTGAGCAACGACGACACGGAGGATCAGCAGCAAAATTCGCTGATCCGTGACACTTCGTCGTATGTTCTTTCATCGTCGCGATGGGCGCGTTGTGCCATGGCGCGGCATTGGCGCCGTGTGCGACAAACGAGCGAGCACCGGCGTTGTTATAAAATTCGACAGAAATTGGCGAAACATGATTAATTAGCGGCTTCCGGTAATGAACGTTGCCGCCGGAATATTGATGGTCCTGCGATTTAATACGACCCAATTAGGAACAGCTATCGTATGACCCCGGCTCTCTCTCTCTCTCTCTCTTTCTCTCACATCCTCGCTTTCTCCCTCGTCCTCGATCGCTTTACGGCCTGCTCTTCCTCGTTCCCTCTCTCTGTATGTATGCCGCTCTTCATCTTCCGTATGCATATGCACAGTTGTTTACGGAGGTTCCCTTGTCTCTCTTTTCACACGCTTGTCTCTACCATGTTCTCTGTCTTCAACACGCGCAAAACTTGTGTCACGTCGTTATATTTTCCGAAAGCTGCAGCATGTTATATTTCTTGTTATATCGGATAATGGGTAATATGCTCGTTAATAACAGTCTACGCGGCATGGATGACACGTAATTGCTTCTGTTTCTCGAACATTGGCCGCGCTGGCTGAACCTTCACGAGCTAGCAGAGCAGCTACCTTCGTGTTCCGATAAGTAGCTGAGAACTTGGACGCAGTTTGATATAACGAGCCACATCCCCAACTCTCGCGAGATTTCGGAATTGAACGACTATCGATTCCTCGAGCCCGTGGAAAGACTCGAAATTTGCTTAGAGTCGCGCATCCGTTATCAAGCTCTGATAATAAATAAGACAATGAACTTTTCGATTTTAATTAAATTTGACGCGTGAACACATCGCATGATTATTATTATTTTGACATTAAGAAACGTCTCTGTGGTAATTAATCCGATCCATTATCGGTATTTGAAGCGCGAATATTTCCCATCAAATATTAATCACGATATTTTGCCGCTAGTATAATTATCGTCGTCCTGCCTTAATCTCTTTTTCTCATTACGAATATCGCATTATTATTTCGTGTTAATCAATTTTCCTTCCTCATTATTATATTTCTACTGTGTTCGTCGGAACGGGCGTTAAATGGCGAACCGGCTGTGTTTTTCGAAATTAACTCGCAAGCTTCAGCGCTGTTATTTAAATGCGACTGTCCCGTCGGTATAGGCGATGGCGTTAAGCCGTCCCGGAATATAAACACGAAAGGATTTCTCCGCGTTCATTCGACTTACGGTAATACTCCCTCGACGTCGAAGAAGTGGAAATGAAGGTGAACCCGCTCGTTAGGTTGACCATTGAAGAAGTAGTGGCACTCCGTGCTACGAGGGTACAGTCCGGGATAGTTTGGCGACGCGAACGTACCGTTCCGAGTCTCATTGCTGTAGAAAGCAAAGGCACACGGAAATTTCTCCTCCTGCCGACCTGTCGTTATACCGAAGTCTGAAACAGTATAAAGTATACTTGTGAGCACGGTCGAGCGGCTAGCTCAGACAAACTACAACGATGTCGATGTTCATATAGAAGTAAAGTCGAAATAGATCAATAAAACAAATACTTCTCCATTTTCTCAGATATTTCAACGATTTTCACAGCGGTTTTAATTTCAATCGCTCGTCAGTTATTTCAGTATCATAAGATTATCATAATTGTTGTACAAGAGAGAGAGCGTAAAAATGCGGGTATATAATTTATTCGATTTTCATGTGATATAGTAACAGCGGAGTAAAAAAACCGGATTTTGCTGTATTTTTTTTTTTTTTTTTTTTTTTTGTCGTCGGCGCGTTTATTACGCTCGTACACTTCATTATTGCAGGGGCGTTCATAATCCCTTGAGCAGCTTAATAAATATTGACATGTACTAATGGGGCCGGCTGTGCAACATAATACAAATCGTTGACGGTACAACCGTGACATTGTAATGCGTCCGAGAAGTAAAATAATAATGAATAATATCGGAGTAATTACCGATATATTATTAATAATCGGTGAGCTTCGATATGTAGAGACAGCACCGAAATTAAATATTAAAGCGAGTAGTTTCGATCCGTTCATGCGTACGAAAGGGCTGAGTGTGAAAAGCCTGTGGTGTACAATGCTTGTTCCCATGCTAGATTGCTTGCAAGGCGGTTTGGTAACAACGGTGTTCGAAAATTCGGGTGGGTACTGTACGTGCTGCCGTGCATGTTACCGTAATGATTTTCTGGACTAGATTGTCGGCATCGTGCATTGTTACAACGTTTTAACGCGTTTAAATAAGTCAGTAAATATATCTCGTCTTTTTACTTTATTGCTTCCATATTACTAGTAAAAATCTCTTGTAAGAATCAAATTTGTGTTTAAAAAAATGTCTATATGAGCAAAAAAACTAAATATATTTCTTCGCTGAGATGCGCACATCTTGATTTTCAAACGCTTCGCCCATACCGTCGAGGTTCGTGAAGAACCGAGCTTATGTTTTCAATCGATCGTACTTCGTCGGACGGGAGAATTGATAGACACCGGGATCAATCTGTTGCCTTATTCGAGCGAAAAATAACCACGTGGACTCAATAGAGAATGATGTTCGATAAAACATCAGACGCGAATTGCGCTGTATGTTAGATTGATTTTCGTTTGTTGGGTTTTTTTCTTTTTCACGAGAAATTATTACAAAACTCGCAAAACTCGTGTTTTCTCACTCATGTCAATATTGCCGAGAACATCTGATGTATAGTCTCGTTCTGCAGAGCTGATCCTTCATTGCATCGGCTTCGCAATAGGTAAATCGACATAAAATAATTGAATAACTTCTTGCAAACATTCCGGGCATTGGCGTACCTTAGAGACCCTTCTCTTTCTCTCTTTCTCTCTCTTTCTCTCTTTCTCTCTCTCTTTCTCTCTCTCTCTCTCTCTCTCTCTCTCTCTCTCTCTCTCTCTTTCTCTCTACATCTTTTCCGCGCTCGACTCTCCTGGCCGATTAAAATTTCTCGACAGCGGTCGAAACCTCATTACGGACGACTCAATTAATTTCGATCGCAACGGACGCCCCAGAGCGACGGTTGTAACCGAAAGCGCGCGCGGTTTGGACGAAAGATCGACGTTTTTCTGACCGCTCAAGGAAACTTTTCCGCCAAGTGATTTCCATTTTTTCATCGCTTGCTCTTCCGTGTACGTAAAAAATATTTAACGTAACGTCGCCGTCGGCAGTATGTTCATCGGTCGAGTTATATGTACATTTGGATCGTTTGCGTGAACGGAGAGAGAAAGAGGAATTCGAGAAGGAGGAGGAGGAGTATGTTAATTACAAGATTGACCTCGTTGTCGCACGAGCCGCGTTTGAAACGACTCCGGTCGCAGTTACTGCGGAACTCCTCTCGAGAGTTCCTAAAGTGCGGTGCACCGCGCCACGAGAACGCGAGCCAAGTTTCCCTCGGGCTGTAAACATCGAGTAATAAGCTTTCGCGAGACTTTTGCGCTTAGTTAGCCGCATTTGTTATGGTCACCGTGTGCCGCGGCTCGGGCGCAGTCTGACTGCTCGCCGTCTCTCGGTTGCGGCCGGAAAGAGAAGAACACAACGGGGCAAGCCTCCGGGGAGAAAAGTGTGAAAACGTTTGAAAAGAGCGCCGCGAAAACCGTTGCACCCGCCCGAGAGGTCAAGCTCGGCAACCATTTTCTCCGCGCGCGTTGTATTCTCTCTTCTTTTTTTCTTTTAGCTCGTCTTGCGATCATATTGTCCCTTTCATCGCGCGCCGTGCGCTGTGCCGACTCGTGCAAAAATCTACCGCGAGTCTGGTTTATATTCATAGGAAGTAATAGCACAATTCACCAGTACAGTAATCCAGAAATTGCGAGTAAAGTGCATAGAAAATCGGGGACACTATTTGAATGAAAAAGGAAAAACAGAATTTAGCCGATTTCGAAATACCGCGATCGCGATTTGTTTTCACGAAAAATTATTCGTATAAAATATTAGGTATGTAAATTAATTCGGTATCTTTATATTCACCTGCTCCTGATTAGTATTTTAAATTCAAATATTTTCTTATTTTATGATAGTTTTAAAATTGATCGACTGACTTCTTAATGACACGAGGGCTCCAACAAATCCGCACATATGTCAATCTACTCACCGTTCTAAATACTACTTTTGAGTTTTTCAATGATTCTCGGTTTTGATGGAATCCAAACCATCGTGCTGTTGCTGATTATTATATCGATATGATGTTGATTCTGATTATTTATGCAATATATTATAGGATTATTTATGCTATACTCACATATGGGAAATTCGATATAGGTCGCATTTTGTTCGACATACATGCGGACTCTGCAATGAGATAGAATATCGCCAAGAAAAAATCCTAAGATGGTGGATTCGAACCTCCGGATTCACAATTCTTGCACTAAAGCCGCAAAAGTAGTGCGGCTGGTTTCTATAGGCCTTAATTGCACGATCTTAAGTTTAAAAATCAGTTGTGTTCACGATGATTCATGACAACACTGCAAATCCATGTGTGTTACTTTAACACATTTTTTCTGTGTAATTTTAAGATTACACGCTTATCCGTGTTATTTAAACACACATAAGTGTGTAATATGATAATTTTATGCAGATCGCATGTATGTTAAAATGCGTAAACATCTAAAATGTGTAATAAAATAAAACATAGTTTTAAACACAAGTTTTAGACATGTTAAAATAATACATATTTCTCGTTTTACACGTTTGAACAGATAAACGTTTCAAAATTAAAACACTTCAAAAAATACACATCAAAATTGTCGTTGTCTCTGCGTAGAAAGTTGGGCGCGCATCAATCTTTCTTTCTCGCTCCTTCCAGAGTACAGAGATATGTTAGGACAAGTACAGCGCGGCGGAAAAAAGTGTGCTGACGTGCAATATATGTTTAATGTGATTAGTGAAAATTTAATATATTTTTTATTTAATATGAAGAAGAAAGTGTACTGTTTAATCGGTGAACGTTGTAAACGCATTACGTTTTCATCTAAAAAATATATCTCTGACCCTCAAATTGTACGTGCAACTTTAATAGAAGCCAGCAATAACGATGTAGTGTTACAATCAATGATCAACAACAAAGAAATCATTTTACAAAAGTTTGATGCCGATCGAAATAATAAATTATGTGATATTGAAGAAGATGATGAAATTGAAGACAAAAATGAGGTTAACGTACTTTTTTTGTATGAAAAACATAGACGTATAATATATAGACTGCGCGTTCCCTACCTTTGCCATGTTAAGAAAATGTCTTCAACGTTGAGAGAGAGACAGCTGGTGTTGAATAATAGCCTCATCTTTGTCTAGCGAAGTAGTAGGGTAAATGATAGAGAAAGAGTTACTATTCAAAGTATGTTGTCTCTCTCAACGTTGAAGACATCTTTTCAGCCAAACGCGCAGTCTATATATATTATACGTCTATGATGAAAAACCATCAAGCCTCGTACTCGAATCATCACCATCTACTGGTTTTATTTCTGATGTTTCTCAAGAGAGACAAATCAATGACACGTATAACATGAACGTCAAAATATTACATACTGAACCAGGTGATAAAAGTTTGGAAGCTCGACGTTTTCTTAGGAGAACAAAATAATAATGTTTTAATATTTTTAAAGAATACTGCACTATGACAAACTTTATTATACCATAGTCATCTAAGTTTTTCATATTGCAGCTTCTTTGAACATAAATATTATTATTCTGTTCTCCTATGAAAACGTAGAGCTTCCAAACTTTTATACGATAATATGTCGTTTATTACACGCAACAAATTATATATTTAAAACGTGTTAATTTAGTGAGTTAAATCAACACATATTAAGCGTGTTCCAATTTTAAACACTAAGAAACGTATTAAAAATGACTTCAATAAAAACACACGTCAAGTGTGTTAAATTAACACACTTGGATTTGCAGTGAAGACGCACATCAGCACTGCGTCTCTCTTCTTTGCGTTTCAGTTTAAAAAAATTGCTGCTCAAATGATTTATTTGGCTTTAAACAATGAGACAATAATTCACAAAATATGTAAAAAGTGATTCCAAAGGATTATAAAAGAAATTTTTGATTTAAATGACGAGCCTTGGTCTGGTCAGCCAAAGGAATTTGAGAATATCGAGTTCCAGAAGCTATTGGGATAAAAATCAAACACAAAAGAACTTGCGTAGCAGCTGGAGTGACTCGAGAAGTTAGCTATTAGTTTACGTATGAAACAAAGAAGATACAAACAGGAATACAAGTGGATTCCACATGTTTTCAGTATTGACTAAAGTGAGACGTTGTGAGATGTAGCTTTGTCGTCGCTTTACAAAGAAAGATTTGTTGTATCAAGTATTACAAAAGACAAAAAGTGGATCTTGTATGATAATTTTAAACGACAAGAAATCATAACTAGACAACTATTAACTTTAACAGCAAAACCAAATATCCACGCCGA